TGGTAAAGGTAAAATCATCTATGGTGATGGAACAATCAAAGAAAGCGTTTGGAAGAATGACGAACCGATCAGTTAGTGACCTAGCATGTCTATGCTTTCGTATGTGTTGTATGTCTTTTGATAAAATACTTTAATTTATGTGTGAGGATGTTAATTCAATGTTAAAAATAAAATCATGATAAGATTGTAGATGTTAGCAAGAATGTTGTGTGAACCTGACAAAACAATATTCGATGTTGAGATGATTAAATGAAGTTAACACAACAAACAGTTGCGAATGTGTTCTAAAGAATGCACACTATCTAAGCGTTGATTTTTCTAATAGTAACAACAGGGACAACATATCTTGTACTGTGACTGTTGTACAAAGCCTGTATGGTATCGCTGATCCTTTCAACACACAGATAATGATAAGTGCATAATTAGAATTCGATCATCGATTCACATTGACAACAATACAAAACGAGGAATAAAGAACGTCCAGGCATTACACAGAAACACACACAAAGGATATGTAAGTAGGCAAAAGAATCGTACGAACGACAGCAGGCGAGTGTGTGACTTACATTCGTTCCTCCAATGCATGCGCATATGAATCATTTATATCCTTTTTCTTTGTCATCTACGCACATATATAAACACACGAATGTATGTAAACGCTATATTCACATACAGCATCACTAGGAGTATTGGTTATCATGCAAATAAACAAATACTTGGTTCGTAGACTAAAAAGCTCCGATGATCTTTGTATGCATCGATGACACGTGATGAATTGTAGGTCGTGTGCTGCATTTTACTAGCGATCTTCGACAATGTTCAATGTGGAAAACTGCATAAAATACATAAGAACGACAAAGAGCCGGTAGAAGACACTGAACAACGTGGTGATATACATGCTGAGCAAGAGTACGAGATTGAAGATTCGGTCAAGCACAAGGAACAAGTCGAAGATGTGAAAAGCAGTTTCAGAAGTGAGTAAAATATAGCTAACGTCACTAGGCAGGAAAATAATTCGAACAGAAGATTATTCCTTGCTCTCTCTCTCACTCTTCCATCATAAACACAGCATCATTCTACGTAGAGTTATTTCTTTCATCATAGAAATTAATTATCCAAACGGTGATCATTACGAAGGTGAATTCAAGAATGGAGACAAAAATGGAAATGGTACTCTGATTTTTGCCAGTGGAACAACATACGTTGGCTTGTTCAAGAACGGAGAATTCAATGGAAAAGGCATGATGACTTGGAAAAATGGTGATCGATACATCGGTGTCTTTTCTAATGGTCAAAGAAATGGTCACGGTATTTACTACTATGCGGATGGAACAATATATGATGGTACTTTTAAGAACGGGAAGAAAACGGGTAAGGGTACTTTAGTTGATCCTAAAGGAAACAAATATGTTGGCTCGTTCTTGGATGATACCTTCAATGGAAAAGGTGTGATGACGTACACAGACGGTAACCGTTACGAAGGTGATTTCGTGAATGGCAAAAAGCATGGCTTTGGAACTTTGAAATTTGCTGCTGAAGGAATAAAATATGTGGGTTCGTTCAAGAATGGAGATTATAATGGAAAAGGTGTGCTGACTTGGAAAAGCGGTGATCGCTTCGAAGGTACTTTTGTAGATGGCGAGAGAACTGGACAAGGTAATTACTATTATGCAACTGGAGAGATGTATACTGGTTCATTTCTCAATGGTAACATGCACGGGTACGGCGTGTTCAGATATCAAAATGGCGACGTCTTTAAAGGCGATTGGAAAAATGGAAAGAAGAATGGTAAAGGTAAAATTATTTATGGTGATGGAGAAGTGAAGAAAGGTGTTTGGAAGAACGACAAACAAATACAATGAAAATCTCATCTTTTTCTATGCTTCCAATTGTATTGTGTTTCTTTTCGCTATATTTGTGTTTATATGTGAAAGTATGAAGTAATTCGTTGTCAAAAATAGAATAATGATAACATGACAATAAGGGAGTTCTTTTTTAGGAAGAAGTTACGCATCATAGTCAGGTCACAGAACGATAAATCCGTGGCTCACTGAATGTCGTAAGTTAATGAATATGTCCATTCGTCTAAACTGTAATTGACATAGTTCCAAAAAGAAATACATGTAATGATTCTTCGGTCATTGGTGATAAATGTGCGTCACGTTCTTTTAATTATAATACAGACTGTGTTAACCATTTACATTTTGTGCACTTGAATGTGCGATTTTAAAACCAAATAACTATCACTTCTTTTTCGTATTGCTCTTTTTTAGAAAAACGTTCTTCTCCATCCTATAGACAATTGAAGTATTCTAATCATTTCTCGTCATTGAATATGGTGATATGGTCGAATCGATGTCGTGAAAAATGAACTAACATTCATCGAGTTGTTTGCTACATGTTGCCCCTAAACTGATGACTGACAACGACGATCGTATCTTGACCTAATGAACGGTAGACGTTTTCGATTACTGATAGATGCATCGAAAGAAAGATATCACTCAGCATTAAAAAGAAAACAATGAAATAGCCCACGATTTCGATTTAAGCTATCCACATAAGCTAAGATGTCGAATAGTCAAAGAGTCAACTCATAACCACAACATTGAGAACGAAGAACAGAACCGATATATAGACTAACNTGACAACGACGATCGTATCTTGACCTAATGAACGGTAGACGTTTTCGATTACTGATAGATGCATCGAAAGAAAGATATCACTCAGCATTAAAAAGAAAACAATGAAATAGCCCACGATTTCGATTTAAGCTATCCACATAAGCTAAGATGTCGAATAGTCAAAGAGTCAACTCATAACCACAACATTGAGAACGAAGAACAGAACCGATATATAGACTAACAAAAGTACTAAACGTCCATAAAAACATATCATTGTTTTTCTTCCTTTGTTATCATACATATCTAAAAAGATATACACATATCCCAACAGTAAATTCACATACAATATGACGACAACTAACACTCATCGTGCAAATCTACAAACATCTGCTTCGTATGTCCAACGATTTTCCTAATGATTGTGTGTATTGTCAAAATAGTTTTACAGTGGCAAAAGACGGTGATGGTAAAGTCAATTCTAAGCGTGAGTAGCACAAAATCTGATTTGATAAGAAGATAAACTTATGCGAAGAAATGAGCGGTTAACTTATTGATGAATGTGCGACTAATTATGTCATCATTATGCTTATTCAGCATATTTTCATCGGAGGTATCACTTACGCTAATGATGATGATTAAGAAAGTGGCTACAAGAATGGAAAGAAAGTGGACAAGGGTACTTTAGTTGATGCCAAAGGAAACACATGTGTTGGCTCGTTCAAGAATAAAGATGATGATGGAAAAGTGGTGATCGCTTCGAAGATACTTTTGTAGATGGCGAAAAAACTGAACATAATAAATTCTACTATGCGAATGGTGACGTCTTTGAAGGTAACTGAGAAAATGGAACGAAGAATGGTAAGGTTAAGAAAGAAAGGTGTTTGAAAGGATGACAAAATCATTAGCTAGATGCCGTATTATCGAAACAATGGTTCACATAACAGCCATTTCTCTACTTATGTATTTTACTTGCATTTCAATCTATAGAATACTCAATGTCAAAATAAAATAAATACAAGAGTTAAGTCATACAGTTCGTTTAAATATGAATGCCGATTTCCTCATTCGGACAAAAGTCATAGTTTCACACTTTGGCGTATATATATATATCCTCATGGATCATTAAATGTTAATAAAGTTTATAATATGTCATTTGAAAGTGGCCAAGTGGAATTACTATTGAAAACAGATCATTTTTGCCGAGATAAGTGCTGGGTACGATTAGATTTAGACTTGGAATTGTATTAATACACGTTTCAGATCGATTTTCTGTATAAAGAAATGATAGACACAATGACATGATTTTTCGAGGTTACAAAAAGACGGCGACTATGTATGGATAATTTGGCATCAGTCAAATGAATGTTTGAGCGAAAAACGGAAGCAAATTCATCCATTGTAACTATTTTCGTTCGGGAAATGTAGCAGAACATATGAATAAAGAAACTCGGCTGAACCAGACAACAGAAAAATCGAAATATTATGTGAGAAGATCGTCGACGTTTCGTACCATTTCCATATGCACAAGAAGAATGTTAAATATGAAGTATACGGGCGTTTTTCAAAGCGTATTAGTCGATAATAGACCACATAAAAGACACGAAATAAAACAAATAACTGCTTTATCAAATTCATTAAGAGTCCAGCGAAAATCATTTTCTCATTTCGATATTTTTTTTCATATAGATTCGTATCAGCCAGATAAGAAATGACTCGATCATATTTATTGTCCTTATTGATCCAAAAAATCTGCCGATACTGTTTAAGACGATTTCTGTCAGTAAAACTGAGAATCGATCAAGCGAGATTCAAAATGGGAACAAAAATAATTTTGAATTAGAAAATAAAAACAGCTGTTAACCTAATCGTTTACTTCTCAAAGGTAATAATTCCTGAAATACCATCAACATCAGCAATTTTCTTTTGGTTTCAGTCTTGAAAAATTCTTCATTTTACCATTCTTTGACACACGCACACATGTCACACAGAATGTGCCGAGAAATCGTATTGTTTCCATACAAACATGTGCAAAAAAACACATATGCTGTATGAACCCGTAGAACAAACAGAGAAGAAAGCAATTAAAATCACTAAACGCACATTTTCTAGACAAAGCGCAGCAACAATTCGTATAAAATACTCTTTTATTCAGATTTTACNCTCTGGAATACATGGGACGACTAAATAACCTCCAAGAATGGCTCTATCCAAACGGACGACAGATCAACATACCACTGATCAATCGAAACCAACTCTATGACTTTCGTAACGATCCTGATTTGATCTGATCTAAATGTCATCATCGAAAATGGTTTTCATTATTCTTCTATTCGAACAACGTTTTTTTTTCTTTTCTTCCCATTGTCATTCCATTCATCAAGCATAAAAATCTAGTTGACACATCTATCCACCGATAATGTCAAGTTTTTCATTCATACAAAATAAAATACACCATCACCCTCGATCAATCTGTTATACATATTATCTTTCTTTTTCTCCTCTCAATTGTTCGACCCCAACAACGAAATATAGTCCACTGTTAAACGTTCTCCGCTGTTATTGGCTTATCCGAATATCGAACATGACTCATTATCTTTGTATATGTGTCTTTGTCAGTGTCGTTCTATAAAAACCGATGACGATCGACGGACTATTCATATATCAGAGTATTACCAATTTGAACTATATGATGCACATACACAATTGTTTGGTTCGTATAATAAAGCATTTTCGTTGCCATGATGAAAAAGAATACTGACTATGTCTGATTGTAGGTCATCTGTTGTGTTGCATTGGTTGTGATTAAAAATGTAAAATGCGATACGCCGGATGAACCAGTCGATGGAAGCAGCGAAGGCTCTAATTTCAAAAGTAAGTATAGCTCGAACACGACAGTATAGATGCAAAATCAATCACTTTGTAGCGATCACAGTCGCCTTTAGAAAATGGAATAAATCAAGACTTTGTAATATGTAATAATTATATAATCTCTGTTATTTCATATTAGAAATTGACTATCCCAATGGTGATCATTATGAAGGTGAATTTAAAGATGGAGAAAAAAACGGCAAAGGTACCTTCACTTTTGCTGATGGAACGAAATACGTTGGTACAATGAAGAAAGGTCTGTTCAATGGAGAAGGTGTGATGACATGGAAAGATGGTGATCGATACAAAGGCAGTTTCCTCAATGGTGAAAGAAGTGGAAGTGGTACATACTATTTTAGAAATCATGGGCAGTATGTAGGCGAGTTCAAGAATGGTCAATTCCATGGAAAAGGTGTGGAGACATGGCCAAACGGTGACCGATATGAGGGAGTATTTGTGAATGGCAAAAAGACTACAAATGGTGTCTATTATTTCACTGATGGAACGAAATACGTCGGCACATTCAACGGTGATCTGTTCAATGGAGAAGGTGTGATGACATGGGTGAATGGTAATCGATATGAGGGAAACTTTGTTAACGGCAAGAAAACTGGATCTGGTTTCTATTATTCTGGCGATTCTGAACTATTCATTGGCTCCTTTCTTAACGGTCAATTCAACGGAGAAGGAATTTATAGATATGCAAATGGTAATTTGCTCATCGGTACATGGAAGAATGGAAAGAAGAACGGTCGAAGTAGATTGATTGATGCTGACGGCACGGTGAAAATAATTAAGTGGAAGGACGATGAATTAATTAGTTAAATGTTTTTCTTTCATTAATCCATATTTATTTTGTTAATTCTTTTATAGAACTAATCATACTCTAATTTTGATGTAGTAAAATGATGGAAAATCGAATAAATCTGTTACTTCATAGTCGATATTTACATAGAATATCTGAATCGATGGGTGTTTATGTCTCACAAATTATGATTGGTCCGCTGAATACGTGAGGATTTTTTATGTGAACACCTTGAATAAGAGTTGTTTCAATGATTAAGTTAGGCATAGAGAAAATGAGGAAACAGAATAGAACAAGGATCTTTGGAATTATTCGTAACTAACATGGCAACGAATTCATCCTTCTTGGTCATTTTCTTTCCAATTATTAACACGATTGGAAATTTCATTGCAGCTTATAATTAAACTCAAACTTTAATCTGTTGGTATAAATGAACAGTATTCATTATTATCAAAATTATCTTATTCTCGTGATGTTAAAACGAATCAATTTTGTGTCTCGTTGGTAATTTATGATCAATACGATCATTCGAAATGAATTTGTTTAACAATCTTGAGCAGTCGCCTTGATATTTTCAGTATGAACATGCATATGTCGAAGAACTTTCTGCAGTTCTTTAACGATTTCAGATGATAATGTTTTCGTTCGGCTAAATAACAACGAAAAGTCAACGAGTCTTTTACAATGCGGACATCTTACGAAAGAATCCATATATGTTCAAAATTGATATCCAAAATAGGCACGTGATCACAAGAAAAAATAAGTGAATATTGATTATAATCAGTGGTAATAACATTGTACTTGATTGTTTGACCTATTTGAACAAAAGAGAACAGAGAAGAGTATCTCGCAAAGATCTTGATTGAATCCTACGAGGATTTGTCAGATGAATGACGAAAGCCGCTGGTTCTGTTGGCCTTTTTTGCATAGCCAAACCTTGATTGCTGTGGAAACCACTCATTTTATTGAAACTTTGCATCCAAACACTCATCGTACCATTAGAATTGATTGTCAACGTATGATTTTCACATTTTGTATCAATTTCGTTGATGTCCTGTCTGTAGACTTCGTACCAGACCCCTGCGTACTAGAAATAACAGGAACGGAAGTAAAACTAATGTGAGAAAAGAGCTTCTCTGACTTTTGTTAGGTTAAAATCTTTCGGAGTTTCGATCCTCGGACACAACGAAGCTGAAGACGTTCCACACGTGAAAAAAATGATCGTCATTATCATAAAATAAGTCATCATGCTCTACTTTTCAACATTCAAGTGAAAAACTACGAGACCAGCTTGAAGGCTTTATCGAAAGTATTCTTTTTTCTCAAGATAAAACGCAGATAACAAAGATCACATTTACAAAGATGAATACGACGTCATCAACGTTTTTCAGTGCGTTATGTGATGAATATTTTTATTCATCGGAATGGTTAACATTCACAGTTTGTACTTACATTACATTTCAAACTGTTTTCTGGTCGTACAATCTATTTCTCCTCTATATTGAATATCACGATATACCTTGCATTGACCAATATCGTATTCAGAAACATCGAGTCAAACTTCGTTTTCAACCGGATTTACTTCGTCAGTTACGAAATGGAACATTCAAACATCAACTTTCATTGATTCTCACATTACCATTCTTATATCATATGCTGAATTATTTCGGTCATGTTTCCGTACATTCATCGATTCCGTCAATCTTGACGATCATTTGGCAATTGACAATTTTCATCTTAGCTGAAGATTTCCTATTTTTTTGGACGCATTATTTATTTCATACACGTTGGTTATACAAACACATCCATAAACAACATCACATTTTCAAGCAACCAACTGGTGTGGTCTTCGTCATTGCTGACCCATGGGAATTGCTAATACAAAATCAACTCGCTGTTTGGATTGCGCCGATCTTTTTCAAAGAGAAACATCTGTTCACAATTTGTCTCTGGATCTTTCTACGTGTTTATCAAACAATAAATGCACATAGCGGATACGATTTACCTTACATAAGTCCGCAATATTACTTTCCATGGTTGTTATCAGGCACGTTACAACACGACTATCATCATCAACACGCAAAAATGAATTATGGAAGCTTTCTAACTCTATGGGATCGATTGATGAATACGCATCGACTGCATAACCTAGCAATTGAATAAAAACCATTTCCTTTTTTTTTCGTTTGCGTGTCATTTCATTCTGTGTTTCTTTTTCAGTCATAAAACACGAACGGGCTGCAAATTTATTTCTATCCAATAGACTGTACTTAATAGAAAGAACGATTGAAAACTTTATGATCAGCGCGCTTTATGCGGCATTTCTCTCACCTGTATTTTTTCACGATCAGTTCAGCCTATATATGCTGTTAGAGCGACTGATGGTACTTCGGTAATTACTGCTGGTAAATAAATGCTTATCAAATCACTGCAACTCGTTATTCGAAACGATTACTTGTGATTGCACTTAACACGACTTTCTTCGCTACGCTTCTTATAAACTGAATAAATCAAATAGAAATAATCACTTTCGACCGTATTTAGTCACATTCGAACCTAAACATCACCTAATCTGGCTGCAATCTAACACAGCTAAATAATACACCATTTATTAATTACAATAACTGATATAGACAGTTTATACCGATAATGATCGAGTGTCTGATGTAAAAGTATATCAACATGGGTCATGGTGATCTTGAGTAATAAACGAAACTTGAAAACGAGTCAATTTACCATATACTTAACCAAATGTGATATTTTCATCCATTCAATGGATATACAGAAATAGTCTCCTGCTAATAAATGTCCAATACAAAATGGATCCATTTATGAAATGTCACCATAAACTATACTCACAGTACGACGTTGCAGCGATTGATTGAAATGTAATAATAAATCAATTATTCACCGTGACTCACTACGACATGCCTTTACAGTACGTGGGATGAGATTTGATCTGAGAGGAAAAAATATGATATTGTAACCATGTGCTTTAATTGCACTTCAAAAATTACGATCAAATCGCAGGTAGTCGGGTCAAAAATAAGGTCGATGTACAAACTTTCAAATCGGGTGATACGTAGGTGCATAAGAACGAGTAAATATAATGCATTCATTTTCGACAAAATATTTAATACGTGTAGCTCATCCATTATACACCTGGGAATATTCATCTGTCACTATTTTCTTTATTTTTCGAAAGAGTTTGCTCAGAAAGAACATAAGGTACAAGAAAGAAGTATTTTATTGGATGTTTTGAGTTCGAAATCGCGCACCTAGCCAATCAGAAGTAGAGAGAGAGAATAAACGGTAAGAGAAAAGTGACAATACGAGAGATATCAGAGACCAACAGAGCGTTTTTTTTTCGAAAGGGACTCATTCAATTGATTGCATTTACCTTACGAATATTTCGTCATTTTTATTGAGGTAAATCAAACGAACGCCGTTTTCATATTTTTTTTCCTAGAAGTAAGGTGCACTTTGAATTGGTGACCTAAACTCAAACTTGTCGAACTTCCACTTAATTGTTCAACAAAATTTCTAAAGCTGACCAATGTTTGATTGGCTAACCTTACTCACTTCAATCATCACCGATATCTTAGCATTTAGTCGCAGTAATACAATGTTTGTCGTATGTCCTCCGTTTGCCGTTGCAGTTACGAAATATCTCTCCAGTGACTTATCTATATCACATTTATTCCATGCGTGGCTATCGAGTTTCATTTATTTATATCTTTACATTGTACAATTCAACATCAATAATGATATCGCAGGCGTCGAAGGCGATCGAATTGGTAAACCATGGCGACCTATTCCTTCAAATCGTGTTAGTATTCAACGGGCTTGGAAACTCTATTTCATCGTTGTCGTAATCTATTTTCTTTATTCTTATTATATCAATCATGTGTTTTGCTGTATTCTGTGGATTGTGTCGACGATTATTTTGAACTTTACTTCAATTCAAAACACAAGTGTTGGAAAAAACTCCATGATTGCTCCGGCTACGTATGCAATGGTAACTGTTATCTGGTGTTTAGTAAACAATGTTTCGAATATACTGGATCATCCGCATGTTCTATGGAATTTGATCTTCAATTCAGTAATCACAGCTGCCGTCGCTGTTCAACAAGATATGAGAGATATTGAAGGAGATCGTGTCCAAGGTAGACGAACATACTCGGTCGTCATGGGAAGTCCACACGCAGAAAAATTCATTGCGAAGATCGTGTTCTGTGCATTAATTTGTCTTCTTTTCGAAGGATATTTTATCGAACAAAAACGCCTAGTCAGTAAATTAACATATATGGTACTAAATTGCTTTCTGTATGGTATTATGATTGTACGGAACTGGTATTCGTATGATGTACGTAAAACGTATGAATTTTATAATCAATTGACTTTCTTTTTCTATCTTTTTATGATACCCATTGTTAATACGAATTGAATTCTTGTGTTTTCCCTGTTTTTTAGAAAGTTTTATAGTCTATCAGAACAAAGTCTGGATAAAGAATTGTTTTGTTTTTATATATTTGATGTAAGTTATTTTTTAAAAATACCGAGTCATTTCTCTCTTTAACCTAATTCTATTCGAACTTATTCTAAGAACATGTAACAGAAAATCATGTAATTTGCGGCTCTAATCGTAGTGAATACATGTTTTGTCATCAACGTAGATTTCTTGTCTATCACAGTTCGATTTATTGTGTCGAATAAGGCATTGTTAAGAAAACGTTTATTTCAATGACGAAAAGCATATATTCATCGTCTATTCAATGATATTCTTACTTAAAAGCAACGATATATCAGATAAGACGAACAATCACGAATAGTTCTGCTGTATAGTTCGAGTAGGGAAATACGTACTATAGCTTTCTCATACAATCAACCACAGTTATGTTCAACGGCATCATGGAATACACATGGAATCATTTTCGCGGATAATATGGTGGTTGGAGTTGGACCTGTGGCAGTGTTTGTTAATTCAAACAATACAGTTTATATAACAAACCGAGAGGAGAATCAAATTGAGATCTGGTTCAATTAGAGAGTATATCCAATGAGACTTTATGTTGATAAGTATGCGAGTTTAAACTTGATTTTTGTAACAGATAATGGAGATATTTTGATTGCTAATAGTGCACTCAACGGTCGAGTGAATAATTGGATATTAGAGGCAAAAACATTTTTACCTGTAATGAATATTAATAGATCATGTTGGGGTCTTTTCGTTGATGTAAATGACGTTCTATATTGTTTAGCATATGAATGCCATCAAGTTGTAGAAAGACGATCGAATGGTATTCAGATGAAACTCGAAACAGCTGCTGGAACAGGCATTGTCGGATCTACTTTGAAAGAACTTAACGGGCTGCATGGGATTTTAGTCAGTACGAATTTGAGTTCATACGTAGCAGATTGTAATAATAATCGAGTTTCATTGTTCGAATTCGGCGATTCCGGCGGAATCGTAATAACAGGAAAGGAGTCGAACAGTGTAACTATTGACTTTTAATTATATTAGATTTCGATCAGTATTTGTCTATTGTCGATTCTTGGAATGATCGTATTGTTGGACAATGTTCAAATGGTTTTCGATGTTTAATTGGATGCGATGATAGAGAACTATGTTCCAAGCAATTAAGCCAGCCGTATAGTGTTAGTTTTGATACCTATGGAAATATGTTTGTCAAGGATTATAATAATGATCAAATTTAGAAATTCGAATTGCTTGAAGAGTTTTGTAGTACGTGTATTATGATTTTATTATTTCAAAAATAGCTACGAGATTGTTCGAAGTCATTTTCTCGCCATGAAACTAATAGAAATGAAAGTTGATATAACTGATCGTTATATTCTTCTAAGAAGTAGCAGTACCGATACGTACGGACTCATTTATGAACACAACTTTAATACGTATAATCAGTCAAAAAACTTGTTTTCACAAAATACTGATTATCAAGATCGTCATCAGTTCAAATTCGACATAGTTTTCCATGCCAATGTCTCATACATATATGTTATAACAGCGTATAACACAGATATGACGATAGACTTCAAGATATCAGCATCTGGTCGAAGCAGAATCAATTTCCTTCACACCAGTAAGTTTGTCTCTTTCGAAAAGATAGAAATGTAAATTTTCATTCGTAATTCACAGGAACTAATTCTTCCTTTGTCGAATCGATCTATTCGTCAGAGTTAACTGTCGATAGAGTACCACACATTTCCAGGAGTATTCGAAGTTACCTTCTTGCTATGAAGTACTACAAGTAACTGTCGGTGTCACTGATCGTTACACTGTTCAAAGTTACAGCAAGGCAGATGTGACTGGTTATATGTAGGAAAACGATTTCAACTTATACGATCTGTCGGAGAATTTACTCACACACAATGACTACAGTTGTTATGAGCGCCTCAGACTTACATATACACTTTGAAGCAATACTACATACCTGTTATTTGTTACAGCTTCTCTTCGAGATTCACCAGTAGACTTTCTGATTCTCGGATCTGGTACAAATCATACAAATTTCATTCGAATTCGTGAGTTTCTCCATGATTGTCGTATCGAATATAGTTAAACAGATCTTCTTAATTAGCTACGTTTGTATTTCCCTTAACATCAAATAGTTCAACATTTTTAGAGTTCTGTTCGCCGATATGTACTCACTATGAAGCAATGAAAGTAACTGTCGCTACAACTGGTTACTACATACTTCAAAGCAACAGTAGCATTGTCATCCATGGCTACATCTACGAAAACGATTTTGATCTACACTATCCTCAGAGAAATTTTATTCGAAATTTATTGAAAAGTTGCATATCAAACCAATTTAAATACTCTCTTTTACTTCAAAATCATACCAAATGCATCCTAATTGTAACAACGAATTCTTCGAATATAACAGAAGAGTTTACGATATTTATCACTGGTCCTGATACAATTGATCTGCAGAGCATCCGCAAGTATTCGCACCACATAAAAAAAACGGATGTCTATGACACATTGGTTATATACGTAGATACTTCATCATTGCCACAATTGTCATTCTCACTAATATTTGAATTGCGATATGCATCAGCATTACCGGAAGGTAGCCAAAAATATTCTCGAGATTGCTGAGAGTTCAATTACTATTACGAAACGATACGATTACCTATATTTGAAAATAGTTATTATAGTTTAACGAGTCGAGATAATGTTGAGACATTCGGTGATATCTATATCGATAAATTCGAATCGATTAATCCCTTCAAAAATTTACTTGAACAAAATTACTGTAGTTGTGACGCTCACAACTTCAATCTTGTCCCTTATCTTGAATCTGATGTAACGTACGTGCTAGTAGCAACAACGTTTTTGCCAAATACAGCGGGAAACTTTTCGATTCTCGTGGCTGATCCGAATAATGTCACTCTTTATCGTTTTAATAAGTGTCTTTACTGCTCGAACTCTCATTTGATTTTTGTTTAGCCAAAGTTGTTACCAATTGTTCCATCGACGAGAAACGTTGATTGTATGCGAAAAACATTGGTATAACCCTCGACGACACTCTAGGCGAGGAAGACCGATGGAATATGCCGTTGATCACTCAGTCGAAATTGGTCAAAACAGGCATATTTTTGACAATGATTATGTTTCTCGCCGGCGTAATCAATAGCTCTCTAGCTAGCATAACATTTTGAGATAAATAACTAAGAAAAGTCGGTTGTGGATTTTATCTATTAACCGCTTCGATTACTTCTCTATTCATGATCAGTATTTTCACCGTTAAATTTTAGTATCTTGTTCTTACTCAAATCGATGTATCGATTTCTCATTCTGTTCTTCACGGAGGCTGTCGATCTGTCAAAACACTGTTGAAATTCTTCTTGTATTTCGATGCTTGGCTCAATGCGTGCGTAGCAATTGAACAGGCAACTCTTGTCATAAAAAGGATCTACTTCGATAAAAAGCACAGTCAACGCATAGCTCCATGGGATAATTCTATTTCGCTTCATCAGTATCATGGGTTCGATCATTCACGAATCATTGTCTCGCGAGTTGCTCGAAGTGAATCGCGATGTGAGTGGAGCAGGAAGACACATTTGGCGTATAACACGTTGTTCTTCTTCTCTTCAATCTCATAACACAATTATACTATTTCTGAGTCTTGTCATTCCATTTGCTGCCAATCACTTTTCCGCTTTGCTCATCATATTTGGCTCTGCACGGCAACGATCAGTTACTGCAAAAAAGAAAGACTTATTGAGAATACGTCTATTAATAATTGCGAGAACACAAACAGTTACTGATCACTCCTGTTCTCTTGTTAATTTTGTCATTACCTCGTCTGACCATGGTATTGGTATCTGAACGTATCAATACGTCTGATTATCCATGGTTATTTCTTTTTGGGTATTTAATTTTATTTACTCCGTCGATACTTATTTTTATCATATTTGTTCTCCCATCTGATTTGTACGAGAAAACATTTCGAGCGTGCATTCTGCTATGAAAACGGAAATTTTTGCGTAGAAAATAACATTCTATTCGCGATGACTTCGGAAACATTACATACTGTATGTTTCGTTGCGTAATGATGATTACAATAGAGCAAAAAGAATATATCTAGGCACGGCATACGCGAAAGAGAAAATAAATTACGTTTTTCATAAGTCAATTCAGTTTGATCCCACAAATATACTAAAGTGTAACCAATGATTGCTCCTCTTTTTTTGCGGTGTCAGCAAACACTGATATAGCTTCGATAAATAAATTCCTTCCATGCGTTCATTTGACCATACATGAAACGCATGATTGATCTTCTTCAACCATCACACACGATGTGATCCCATTACTTCATATCAATTGCTTTAGCTCCCCGAATTCTATCATACCTAAACTTGTATACGTCCGATTACTCGAGAGATCAATCTAGAAACAGCATACTTCATATAAAATATTTATTTTATTCTCAGAAAAATATATTATTTTCATTTCACATTGTAATTGTTTACATATAAAAATAATGAGCACGATCAAAAGAGAATCAGTTGAGCAACTCGTCATTCATCCAGACGCCTTCTTGAGTATTACCATCAGCAAATATCATTTTACCGGAGCCATTCTTCTTTCCGTTTTCCCAGTTGCCAATAAATATCTTACCATCTGCGTATACATTCATGCCTTGGCCGTTAAACCGGCCTTTAAGAAAGAAACCGTAATACACATCAAATGTATGACGATGATAAACACCATTTCCAGTTCTTGAACCATCGAGAAAGCTGCCTTCATATCGATCGCCATTTGTCCATGTGATCATGCCTTGTCCATTAAAAAGGTCACCTTTGAATGTACCAACGTACTTTGTACCATCAGCAAAATAGAAGACACCGTTTTTAGTTTTTCTGCCATTGTTGAATACTCCTTCATATCGATCACCGTTTGACCATACCTGTACACCCTTTCCATGGAAATCTCCATTCTTGAACTCACCTGCGTACTGCGCATGATCCCCAAAATAGTATACACCGTTTCCGGTTCTTTGCCCATCGAGAAAAGTACCTTCATACCGATCGCCACTTTTCCATGTCATCACACCTTCGCCATTGAACAGGTCACCGTTGAATGTGCCAACGTATTCCGTTCCATCAGCAAAATAATAGACACCATTTGTAGTCTTTTTGCCATTCACAAATACTCCCTCATATCGGTCACCGTTTGGCCATGTCTCCGCACCTTTCCCATGGAATTGACCATTCTTGAACTCGCCTACATACTGCGCATGGTCCCCCAAATAGTAGGTACCATTTCCAGTTCTTGCACCGCTCACAAAGTTCCCTTCGTATCGACCACCATTTGCCCATATCATCACGCCTTGCCCATGAAACTTTCCATTCTTGTACGGACCAACATATTTGGTATTATCAGCAAAAGTATAAGTACCGTCTTCAGTTTTATCACCATTTGCAAATATTCCCTCATATCGACTACCATCTTTCCACGTTATCACACCTTCTCCATTGAACAGCCCTTTCTTCATTGTACCAACGTATTTCGTTCCATCAGCAAAAGTGAAGGTACCTTTGCCGTTCTTTTCTCCATCTTTAAATTCACCTTCATAATGATCACCATTAGGATAGTCAATTCCTAACAAAACAAAACAGATCTGATATAAGCATCACTTATGTTCCAACGAGTGTAATCGTTATCAGATGATCAATTTATCATGCGTACTTACGTCTGAATGTTGAATTGCCCAGAACACCCACTTTATCATCCTCTACGAGCTCTCTAAGTGAGTCGCATTTTGTATTTTCAATCAGAATCAATACAATACAACAGATGACCTACAATCAGACACAGTCAGTATTCTTTTTCATCATGGCAACGAAAATGCTTTATTATACGAACCAAACAATTGTGTATGTGCATCATATAGTTCAAATTGGTAATACTCTGATATATGAATATTCCGTCGATCATCATCGGTTTTTATAGAACGACACTGACAAAGACACATATACAAAGATAATGAGTCATGTTCGAATCTGTTCCACATTCGAATAAACCAATCACATCGTTGAAACGGATTAGAACATCGAGCAGTGATTTCTCATTCTTGGTGTGACACTGAAATAAATTGTTGTTTAGTCCACTAGTAACACAAGCACGACCAAACAGCGAAGGATGACTACTAGTAAACTATATTTTGTTAGTGGAAATTCGACAGTTGAGACGAAAAGAAAATGAGAAGTGTTATGCACGACTGATTGGATCGATGGTGATAGCTTATTTCCCTTTGTATGAATGAAAAGGTTTATCATCATCGACGACAGACTTCTGATGTTTGAACGAACAGTATTTATGAAACGCGTACAAATTGACTGCTATTACAAGAGTAAAATCGTTCAAGAATCGTGTAGACGAATTCCAGTACGACAGTAGTCTTTCTCTCGACTGCAAAGATATTGTTTCTCTAGTTTAGTGCTTTGATCAATGGGCTGATCAAAACAAATACAATGAGCGATCACTGAATGTAATAGGGAAAGATAGATGTATGCTAACTACATGTTTGTGTTTGATGAATAGAATGACAATGGGAAGAAAAGAAGAAAAAAAACGCTGTTCGAATAGAAGACTAATGAAAACCATTTTCGATGATGACATTTAGATCAGATCAAATCAGGATCGTTACGAAAGTCATAGAGTTGGTTTCGATTGATCAGTGGTATGTTGATCTGTCGTCCGTTTGGATAGAGCCATTCTTGGAGGTTATTTAGTCGTCCCATGTATTCCAGAGCATGAGCAGCTGCTTTCACCACTTTCTCATAAGCAAACGGATTGATATTTGTGATTCGATCACATTGTTGATGATAACATGGATCATAAGCAGCATTCGCTAGTCCACCATTCCCAATTCCCAGTACAGCTGCATATTGATCTCGTTCACTAGCTGGTTTGATTCCTCCAGCACCTGTGTTCACACCACCAACAGCTAAGCCAGCAGCTAAGAACGGAACATAATCACTTCCGCCACCTAACGATGAATTACTCCATGGCAAGTTCTGTTCATTGAACCATTGACGAAATAGATTGGTGATTTTCTCTGTTCCATGTAATGCTTGTTCAGGTGTTGTGCTTGGTACTGTTGCTCGATCATGGATACCAAAGCGATAGTTCGGACCTGCTAACATGTCATAGTTGAGATTTAACAGATAATCTTGTAGACGTTCACCAACTGTCGTCACATTTGTTAGCAAAGCTTGATCAACATGATGTCGAGCACCAAGAAGACCAAGTTCTTCTGCTCCCCACCAACAGAATCGAACACGATATGCATATGTTGGATAGGAAGACGATGAAGTTTGAAAGAGACGAGCTAGATTGAGAGCTAAAATCAGATTTCCAACTGTTCCACTACCTAGAAAACATGAGATCAACAAAGATATCGAAGAGAGTGATTGTTCTTCTTCTTCTTCTTATGTGCTTCTTACCATTATCATTGATTCCACTTCCTGCTGGCACACCATCACTATGTGAACCAACAACAATCGTTTGTGTTTTCTCACCAGTTGGTGTATCAGCACAGATATTTCCAATACCATCAGCATCACTAACATCAATATTCATCTTGACAGATGAATTCGGTGCTCCATTGAGTAACTGTATTCCCAAATTGTATGAAATGAAGAATGCAGGAATGGTTGTATTGAGATTGTTTCTGACATTTTGTATTGGCAGAAACCGATCTGATGCCGTTCCATCATTATAGATGAGTAATCCTTTGACACGATACTTTTGTGCAAAGAGCGATTTTTCTGGATAAGTACAATCACCTCGCTTGACGAGAGCAACTGCATTCTCAGCTGACACACTTGTCCAATCAGAATCTTGACAGCCAACATTGGGAATGGGTACAAGTGGAACGAATGAATCGAAATCTGCTCGTGAAGAATAGAGAATTTGAGTGAAATTAGTGATATAAGTATGATGAAGAGTGACGCCATTGATTTGTGATTGTAGTTGTGGATTTCCTCGAATGATGTAGTTTCGAACAGTAAAATATTGTCGTTGAACAATGAGGTTGGTGTTTTGTTCGAGTTGACTTGTGATATAATCGAGTGTTCCATTGAAACCAATTGTGGTAATGGCTCGTGTTCCATTACTTCGATCAGCAATGACTTGTAGTTGTTGCAGATGTTTCAAGAGATCTTTGATGTTGATCTGATTGACTAATGATAGTGGAAGATCTGGTTCGACTAATGTTGCATTGTTCGATGGTAGGCGATTGACGACAATGCCCAGAAGGACTGCAGTAAGAATAGTTGCTGTGATGGTGAAGAGAAAGAGTAGAGCAAATAGAATATAAGTGGATTTATCAGCCATCGTGTGAATCTCTCAAAGATGAAGTGATCGATGAAACAAGAATGAGAACGAAGTTGTCAATGATAAGACGAACTTTGAAACAATCATAAAGTAACACACGGAGAAAAGATGATTTTCTTTCATCAAGAATAATCATAAAATGACTATGTTCGTTTGTGAAGAGGGTTCGGTTTATGAAGATGTTGTTGAGTAATTAAGATGAAGAGTGAAAAGGTATTTATTAGAGATGAAGTGTAGTAGTTCGTGTTAATAAAATATCTATGTAGAGGTGAGATGTTCTGAAGAGTGTGAAAAAGAAGAATACACACGTCATAAGTTGGATTTCGTTCATTGATATTTTGTCAGTTGAAGAAAGAGAGTGAATGAAGGAAAGATCGAAGATTTGTTGAGTGGATGACACTGATGAACGAATGGCATAAGTGTGTTTGAAGGGAATCTGCGCAAAAGAGAGTGAATCATAGAAAATATCAACAACGTAGATCCGATTGATACGTCAACGAACACGGATGAATTAGTATGACACATTTCGATCAAAAATATGTCGAATATAGAAAAGATAAGACAAAAATAAACGTCATTGAGATAAATGTATATGTCGTCATTTGTACGCAAATGAGTAGAAATGTATGGGTATATATAGATGGATGAAGAATCTGTTGATTTCGTATAGTGATCATTCTAACTCTCGTTTAATTCGATTAGAGAAACATGTATGGTTATAATCCTTATCGCAATCCAGCTGTAATGAATGAGTTATTATCGGACTTATGGATTGAACAGAACGTTCCTGGTGGATTAAACAGTGAGTTGTGTTGAGAGAATATGTCTGGTTGATTTATGTGAATGTTTGACATTTTAGGTCCTCTTGGAAAAGCATTAGATAATATGATGGGAGGTAATCCAAATCCAACATACGGTCAAAGGTATGGAAATACATTTGGTTATGGATATAGAAGTTATCGTCCAGTGTATGGGTATCGATATCTGATGTAATGTCATGTAATTGATAGAGTTTTTTTTGTGAAAATTGAAAATAAAGAAAGTTCTTTGTGGATAACAATAATAAATTGACATGATTCTTTATATTGACTTCAATGAATAGAATTTCGTCAGATAATAAAACACTTCAGCAGCTATATAGAGTACTTTATCCTTTTCAATATTTTTCTTCCTATAAAATACTTCGAGTTGAATGGGAAACAGTAAACCATCTGTCATGCAAATTTTCTCTCATGGTGTGCTATTTCTAATTTATGAAGATATATTATCAAGAACAGACTTTCTCCATGAAGAATTAATATCACTTCATCAAGAAAATTTATTACTATGATTATTAGTTAAGTTTCGTTTATCAAAAGAAAACGTTGTTCTCTACTCAATCATCATGGGATGTAATGTTTCGGCAGCGACTGCTACGGTTACTCCAAGCGCGACTATTCGACCACGACAGACTAGTGGAACGCGCAATAACCAATCCATGACGGATGAACAATCACATTTGATGTATGCACAATTATTCAAGGAACTCACGAATCAGATCGGTGAAGAAGATCGTCCGAGAATAATATCCTACTGTTCAGATCTTTATATCGAAGAAAATCTTGCTGATTCAATCGAAAAGAATTCTGAATTGAACACATTAACCAATTATATGCGAGAGAAAATTCAAGACGATGATCCGATCTGTTCGATTGGCCATTTAATGTTGGAAATGGGTTCCTACGAACGTGCAGAATATATTTACTTAAAAGCTTTGTCAACACAACAAGACGACTGGATCCGACAAGCTTCATTATTAAATAATCTTGGCAAAATCCATCAGGAACAAGAGAAATATGTAAAAGCACTTGAATATTATCAGAAAGCTGTTGAATTACAACATCAACATTTACCTGAAGATCATTTCAGTCTTAGCATAGATTACAATAATATCGGTTCTGTTTATCAAAAACAGAATAAATATGATTTAGCTCTGGAATATTTTCAACGTGCGTTGAACATCGAAATGAATTCTCTACAAAAACATGATGAATTAGTCGCTCTATTTACAAACAACATCGGTTTAGTCTATAACGATCAGAAGAATTTCTCTCAAGGACTTGTTTATCATGAAAAATCCTTAGAAATGAATGATAAACTTCTTCCGTCCACACATCCTACCTTGGCTTTATCGCATCATAACTTGGCCATATCGTTATTTTTCTTAGGTCGCTTACAACAGGCTTTGGAACATGCAAAAAAAGCGGTGGACATCACCTCTCAATCGTTACCCAACGGTCACCCACAACGTGATGCTCATCAAGATCTAATGAACAATATTCAGAAAAAAATATGAACATACATTTTACTCTCATTAAAGTTTTATTTGATATTTTTCTCGAAGTTGGTGTAATAATAATCGATTGAAAGCACAGCTTACATTAGAACCGTAACGTACAGAACCTTCTCGTTTCCATTGTTTCTGTTCGTGTACAAAATCTTCCGGCCAAAAATCTAAACATGCATATTTCTTATCGATGGTTCTATTCGTGACGGACGAACAGAATTTCTGATCTCTCGTGCACATTTCAACAAATAATTGTCCATCGGGCGCTAAGTTTCCCCAAGGATTCACGGGTAAAGTAAATCCGTTAAGAATTATTTGACCAGCTCGTCGAATTAATCTCAATACTTCATCTTTTTTTATTCCTCTTAGTCGTTTATTAATTGGATAGTAAAGACCTTTGATATATGGTGTACCACTTGTAACATGTTGTTCAAGAAATGATGTATAAAAGCCAGACACATTTTTCAGTACTTTCGACCTTAAACCACCAAGATTAACTGTAACAGATCCATCGGGCAGAAACGTCTGATACATTTGACCGGTTCCGGGACCAGTTATATGAATATCCATTTGACGAATAATTCGTAATTGAGATGCGAATTTAGTATGAGTGAGTTCATAGACTGGTGAACGAGAGTCCGTAGATGTTTGTTTGAGTTGTTTCCCATTGATTATTTGCGCACTAACACTACCATAATAGAAATAAGTGACATTGATCAATGGCCATTCCGGTTCCACTAGTGTTTCGTCAGATGTTTTGCTGAGATAATCATTTGTGTACGTGTTGATTTCTTGAATAGCCTTGTGAATTTGTTTTTGTTCGATATTGGTGAAACGTTTGTTGTGAATAACATACGCCTGAAGAATATCACGGGGCGTTCGACGTTCAGAGGACGATTTCTGTCTTGGAAGTGGAGGTATGAGACCCATTTGTCGATACATGCGATTACGAAATAAACGTGAAGCATCCAATTCAACGCCGCCGGGTAATTGCAAATGTGGTTGAACGCAACGTTGACAAAATTTTCCACTACCTATAATCACTTCATCGAACATAAACCATTTGCTTTTTGAGACATGGTTTAAGACATACTGTTTAATAAGTCCCAGACCCGCGAAACGACTGTAAACATCCTCACTCCAACAGAGATCGCAGGGCTCTATACTAGCAAGGATTCGAAATGGTTGAAGATGTCGCGGAGCAAATCGCATCAGAGCAACAAAAGCCGGATACAAACCATCGAACAGTGCATGACCAATATTATGCATCCAGTATTGTCCAAAGTAAACTGTAGTCGAGGGAATGATGTGCATATGAGAAAGTGCCAAAACGAACTTTTCCAGATGCTCATAAGTTTTGAAAATACGTTTTTGTGGTGTAAACTCGAATAAATTGAAAGCATTTGTATATACACGACAGTCGGGTAACTGTCTTCCGTTCACAGTGAAAATGACAAATTTCCTATTGAAATAATATAAATTTTTAAAGAGACATGTTTGATTATACAATGGACCGCGGCATTGGATAGTTGTTTCGAATGTTTTGCCGCGATGCGTGACATTATCAGGCTGAATTAAGTAATGATTCTGCCGGATTTGTATTGATAATAAACTTTCGACCTCATCATCCGTCGATATTGAAATCTTCGCAGTATGAGTCGCTGCGTAGATGCTTTGTAAGATGACAATGACAATTGTTATGAGAAATATAATAAAAATAGTTTGAAATGGTATGTATATACTTTGAGCTAATCCAGTTTTCGTCGGCATGATGTAAAATCTGAATAAAAGAGTATTTTATACGAATTGTTGCTGCGCTTTGTCTAGAAAATGTGCGTTTAGTGATTTTAATTGCTTTCTTCTCTGTTTGTTCTACGGGTTCATACAGCATATG